CGAGCAGTTTCAGGTAAGTCAGTATGCTGGATCTGGGAGCAATTGAAACCGTATGTACCAAGTCCCGAATCATCTGGAATCTTGTTGCAGGCAAGTATACTCTCGCACTCAGTGCATCGAGTCTCGCGCCGATAAACTCCAAGTCTTGACTTGGTACCAAGGACGATTTGCCAACATTGATTATGAGGCCCAGAGCCTCGAATACAGCTGTGGTGGTGGTCACTGCCCACGTAGCCTCCTCGCGAGTCGGGGCCTTTAATAGGCAATCGTCGAGATACGGGAAAATCGCGATATTGAGGCGTCGGAGGTAGGCAGCTACCACTGCCAGAGTTTTGGAAAACACCCGTGGTGCTGCTGACAGACCGAAGGGTAACACTCGGTATTGGTAGTGTTCCGCGCCCACTACGAAACGAAGGAATCGCCTGTGGGCCGGGTGAATGGTTATGTGGAAATAGGCGTCCTGTAAGTCGAGGGACGCAAACCAATCCCCTTTGTGGAGAGCCGGGATGATAGAAGCTAAAGTGACCATTTTGAATTTTTGTTTTCTCAGGTAGCGGTTGAGTCGACGCAGGTCCAGGATAGGCCTCCAACCCCCTGACTTCTTCTGGGTGAGGAAGTACGTGGAATAGAAACCTCTCCCCCGAAATTGAATGGGTACCCTCTCCACGGCTCCTATAGTAAGTAGTCGGGACACCTCTTGCTGTAGCAGAGACTCGTGAGAGGGGTCCCTGAAAAGGGACGGGGAGGGTGGGAAGTGGGGGGGAATGGAGTTGAAAGGGATGGCATATCCTGAAACAACTATGTCGTTGACCCATCGATCGGTGGAGATCAGAGACCAGCGATGTTAAGGCCTCAGCCGATGATGGAATAAGGCTACCTGATTGTGTGACGCTCCCGACAAAGGAGTTGCACGCAGTCCCTCGACTGACCCATCAAACCTGTTGCCGGCCCTGCTGTTGACCGGAAGTCTTGCCAGGTTGCTGTCTTCGCTTTTGCTGGCGTTGTCTTGGTCTCTGTTGTTCATATGGCTTGGGGCGGAATGTTGCGTAAGAGAAGGATCTCTGTTTGTTGTAGGGCGTATACCTCTTACGTTTATACAGAGGCGTATACATGCCAAGCGTTCTAAGAGTTGAACGGGAGTCCTT